TGAAGGTACCTTGAAAAAGCTCCACTGGTTATTTCAGAGTGAGCAAATCTTTTTGTCCACACCTTCACAGTACCCACTCCCCACATCAACCACAACACACACATGCTCACACATTCTGAGAACCACTAGTCCCTCTGGCTTGGGACTTGGATAGTGGCCCTTAGCAAAATGATCCAAGGGGTTTTAAGCTTGATGGGTTTGGGCAAATTATTGCTGGCATCTTCAGTTGTAAATTGATCTGGTGTCTCCAAGTAAGACCCTAGTCTTAAATATGTTTTATTATGCCAGAATTGAGCAGAACTGGACAGGACTGGGGGAAATTGGTCTTGTGTCTAGATTTGTGCTGGCTTTGACTTGTTTAATTGTGGCTTCCAATTTCCACTCTCATCTCATCTGAGTTCTGAGTTGGATTGGCCTGGTCTCTGGTCTGAATGAAATGAACCATTTGTTCAGCAAGTCTTTGGGTACTTTTGAGCATCTCAGATGAACATTTTAGGATATGTTTTTATAAATTATGGATTATTCTCGACTGGATCCTTGGTAAGAATATACTGTTTAGAGGCTTGGCTGTGACTTAAGATGCACAGGGATGTTGTGTGGCCTTAGCTGAGCTGGCATGCAAACCAGATTAAACAGGATCTGCCTCTGGGCTGATACTGATTGATATAGGAAATGGGCTCATTTTGTGCAGGACTCTGGATTGGTCGGTTTGATTGGGCCTGTGTAGAATGGGCTTTATCACTGCATTGGAGTAGGTGTTTGCAGGGCTTTGTGATGAGTTTTGGTTTGTCCTTAAACGAGTCAAGGGACTTATTGGACTGAATTTATGTTTAAGGTTGACTTGGTTGAGCTTTGGATAGGGTATCAATGGGATGCTGAGTTCAACAAGGATTTGACTGTTTCTGGGCTAAAGTTGTGGCTAGCTTGACTTTGTAGGATACCATCAGGACATCTTGCTCTAGCCTGTGGTTCTGCTTAACTTTATTACTTTATTACTGGGCTTAACTTTATTACTGTATCTTTGTTTTCTCTGTCACCAAAAGTCAATACTCAGCTGATTCAGATTCTTAAAACACTTTGTTTTTCCAGATAATAAATTGCTTCTAGGAATGCTCACTTCACTTTTTGCCTATGGTGGTCCCAGGGACTACAGAGTCCTCCAAGAACCTGGCAAACATTGGACCTACCTGATTGACATAAAACTTTATGGAGAGAATCAGATTTTTCCATATTGTGGCAAATATTTCTCTTTTAGGGAAAAATTGCTTTTTACGCAAATTTTTTTGGGGTAGTCTGCGTTACCTGGAGCCTTTTCCAAACCTTTGTTAAGAATGCAGACAAATGATACTTAGTGCCCAATGAGTTCTTGATAGATTATTAGGGCAGTAAACTTTGTATTTGACAACCGGGGGAAAGGGCTCAGTCACATGTGTTCAAAAAAAGTAGAGGGCAACTAACAGAGAGTGAGTTACCAAGAAGCTAATATTATAGATAGGCAGGGCATATTTAATAATTACTGTCTCAAGGAAGGAAGACTAGTAAAGTCAGGTAGGAGAGGGATCAGAGTGCAGGACTAAAGCCTTGAGATGGTCAGTCTAGTCAGACAAACTCTCCAATCTTTTGAAAGGCAGGACCTTGAAATTCCTGGTAACTTTGAGTATCTTGGGATTCTTCCTTGTGGCAAATAAAACATTCGAACATTTACAAGTTACCCCTTATCCCCTTATCTTCTTGAAAGAGCCTTCTGCTTCCTGGTAACCCAGTGCAGTCTAACATTCTTTGCACTACTTTACTGGGATGCTCCTTGGTGACACAGTGACACTTGTGCCAAATCCTCCTGGAGTTTTCTTAGGGCTTATCCTCCTGACTTCCATAGCATGTGGCTCTGTTGACTACTCCTTCACATAAGAAACTCGTCCCTGCCTAGGCTTCCAGGTTGCCCTTCAAACACTCTCACGTGCATGGTTAATTTTCTCCTGTACTTTTCCAACTCCAGAATTATCCATCCATAGGCTGAACATCACCATGTATATCATTCTTCCACTGCCTTGAATTAGAGAAGCAGAAGAGTCCCTTCCAAACCTCATGTATCTATCTCTATGGACCTTGAAAAGGCTGATCAACCTCTTCCAGAACACTGGAGCCCTTGGAAGGCATTAGGAACCAGAACACTCCCAATCAAGTCAGAGCACTGAGAATTAACTCAAGAGGATGGTAATATTTGGGTAGGAAGATACTGAAATTTAGATGTCTCTCAGTTGTGAAATCAATCTGGGAAATGCTAGCAGAAACCCATCAAGACTCTCCCCAGATCCCCCTCTAGCCTGCAGTGACTCTCCAATTTCTCTACGAGCACTAATTATGAGGCCACTACAGTCCAACAAACAAAGGGAAAAGTCGTTGCCAATTTCTAACACCTGACAACGTCTCCCACTGAGCGAACATGCTAGGATCATAGAAGAGGTTTCAGTTACCACTGTTATGGACTATGGACATCTTTGTCATTTTTAAACCCTCCCTGCAAATAACGTATCTCTGTAGCTCAACTTCAAGTTCACTTCATGGGAATGTTTGGAGGACACTTCCCCACAGTGAGTGAGGCTGGCACAAAGCCCTCTAGATAGAAGAAACAGCCTGGAATGGATTTCCTCAGGCTGGAGAGAAGCGTGGAGCCCTTTTAAAATCTAGAGATGGACTTTTTTCTACAATCCTCGAAAAAATAGGCAGACACACTGGGACATTTAAATATCTAAGTCCCTCCCCAAAATACCATCTTTGTCCCAGAGGAGCCTGTTGCTCTCTCTCCCCTTCCCCATAACTTTGTTTCCCATGAAATATCCTCTCTCCATTCACCCCTGGAATAACTATGCCCTCACCTATCTTGGATAAGGGTGTCTCTAACTTTGAAGAGCTCTATTAGGACACCTCCTGCTTCCTTCTGGTCTAACTTTCTAAACGATTTTGCCTGTAAAGCTCTCAACACATTCCTCTGTCACCCAAACTCTAAACAACCTGAGAGGGCCTTGAGGGCATGAGGATGAGAGAAGACATTGTTAATGCTTCCCTGGTTCCTCCTGCCCTCCTTTCCATGTTCAAGCCCTTTCCTTTTCCTTGCCAATGCCATAAGTACTCTCTCCATCACACTGTCATATCCCTCTTCATCTTAACCAGTTCCCACCAGTGTTCCTGCTTTCCCTTACCCATCTGACTTCTATAGATTTCCTCACTGTCTTTCAAGTCAGCAAGCTGCAGTGGGGTCAGTGTGGGTTTTCAACCCTTTGAGGAGAAAGAAGATACAGAAGAAGAAGACTTGGAAGGTTAGGGTATTTTAATCTCCCCCCCAACTATTTTTTTACTGAGAGAAATAATTCCTACAGTATGGGTTTAATACATGTTATCTATGAAACAATAGTTTCATGGTCAAGTAAGTATGGGAAATAGAGGTAAGTAATTTTTTCCTACAGAAATTCTCAAGGCTTTAATACGATACTACACGTTTGTTATCTTTCATTACATTTAAAATTGCCCCCAAACTTACAGACTTAAACTGATAAAAATTAGCTTATTTCTGTGGGTCAGGAATCAGGGAATGGCTTAGCTGGGTGGTTCTGGTTTCGGGGCCTCTCATGAGGTTGCAGTCAAGATGTCAGCCAGGGCTGCAGTCAGCTGAAGGCTTCACAGGAGCTTGGGGCACCTATGTTCAAGATGGGTCACTCACATGGCTGGCAAAATGATATCGGCTGCCAGCAGGGATCTCAGTTCCTTGCCACACGGACTCCTCCTTGGGACTGCTTGCGTGTTCTCCCGACATGGCAGTGGGCTCTCCTACAATGAGTGATGCAAGAGAGAAGGGAAAAAGCGCAATATCTCTCATGGCCTATCCTCAAAAGCCGTACACCCTCTTATTAATTACTCACAGGTCAGTCTCACTCAAGGCGGGAGGGGTGTGAATTCCAGGAGGCAAGAAACACTGGGTTCATTTTGGAGGCAGGTCAGTACAATGCATAACAAATCTTCAAGGCTGATTTGACAACATGATTATTGGTCAGTGGACCATTCCAAGCACTAGGATTCCATGGTATACATGCTGGGGAAAACCACCATGGACCGTCATATTGGGGTGTAATGGTCTGGAAGGCACCAAAGTAGAGGGGAAGGTGTGTGTCTGGAAGAAGAATCCTGGGAAAATGGTACATGCATATGCACTGAGGGCTCCCAGAGTGGAAGACAATGGGAAGCTAGAACTGGGGCACCACTCGGAACTGGGGATCAAAAGCTGCTCTAAGGAAGATTCTCCATTTTACAGACTAGCACAGAACTTTCCTGCCAGTTCCAAACTGCTTGTACCGTCTAGATTCTTGTAAGCTGTTTACTTCCTCTGTCCTAAATTAAAGAGAGAAAAAGTCAAAGTTCACAGGCGGAAAAGAACTATTATCATAGAATCTCTAAAAGATGGAGATGGTGGCAGTCTAGAAGGCTCAGCTGTTCCGTGCCGGGAGCAGCCCTGAGTACCACACTCTGTGGGGTTGTTTGTGCTGTTTTCAGACCGGACCCCGACAGTCTCTTTTATGGTCCAGGCAAAAACTATGTAAGGTCACTCAGATGACTCAGACACAAAGGCCTCGTTTTTCCCTACTTCATCTGCACAGTGGCTTGTTTGCAAAGGTCCTAGCCTGGGGAGCCGGAGCCACTGTTCTTGGAGGAAACAAGTTCTCATCCAATGTTCAGTGAATGTATCAACAGATGCGGGATAGGAAAGGAAAAGGAGGGATAAAAGGGCTAGAGAGAATGGAGAGGCAGTCATGGAAAAAGAAAGGGAAAGTGCGTGGGAAGAAGTAAGGAGTAAGAAAACATGCACCGCTCACGTGAGAATGATAAGGACAGGAGATTTATGCCCGAAGCCTGGAAGGCCCCCGCCCCCGCCGCACTCCCACGGGTCCCACGCGTGCTTTCGCTGCTTTTGTCCACAAGGTGGCAGCGTTTGAACTTTCTTCCCTGTAGGAACCAGAAAGGGGGGCAGAGAGGAAGAAGAGAAGGCAAAGCACTCCCCCCATCAAGAACAATTTGAAAACCCATCCCATCATATTTAAAATCTGGGACAAAGAACCGTCGGGACGGAACTCCTTCCGTTGCAAAACCTCGGCGCGGCCTCGGGAGCGTCCCGGCGGCCCCCGCCGGAGCAGCCCCTTTAAAGAAGCGGAGGACCGGATTGGGATCCTTGAAACCCGAAACCCAGAAACAGCATCGGAGCGGAAACCAGAGGGAAAATCTTGAACTCCTCCAGACAATTGCTTCCGGGGAGTTGCGAGGGAGCGAGGGGGAATAAAGGACCCGCGACGAGGGGCCCGCAGATGGCGCGTCCCTGAGGGTCGTGGCGAGTTCTCGGAGCGTGGGAAGGAGCGGACCCTGCTCTCCTCCGGCTGCGGGCCATGGCCACGGCGGAGCGGAGAGCCCTAGGCATCGGCGTCCAGTGGCTCTCTTTGGCCACTCTGGTGCTCATCTGCGCCGGGCACGGGCACGGGGGACGAAGGGAGGATGGGGGTCCAGCCTGCTACGGCGGATTCGACCTGTACTTCATTTTGGACAAGTAAGTGCCGCGACTTGTCCCCCCACCCCAGGCTAAGCTGGCGAGGATGCTTTCCCCCGGCCCGGGCTCGCGGGCAGGGTCGCCTGGGGACAGGCGCGCATCTCCAAGGGCGCAGGGAGACCGTGGCAGGCGGCGGCGGAGCGCTGCGCCTTTGTTGGGGCGCACTCCGCCCAGCCTCGGCTCCATCGCCCGCAGCCAAGGTGACGCCGCTTGCTCGGAAGGGGACAGACTTCTTTTCTGCCATGCTTTCTGTGTCCCAAGAGCGTGCCAGGGACTTGGAGGATGCTGTTGTCTTGCTGAGTTTCTGTGACTCCCTCCAGTGTTGGTGGGAAAGGCTTGCTTACCAAAGACAGAGCTTGCAGGCACTCCTAAAGTTAGAGGCTTGGGCATGTTTAAGTCAATCGTCGCATTTTTTTTTTTTTTTTTTTCTGAAACGTTGCTCCATGGAAGGCATTACCTTTGCTCCTAATCATATAATGCATGCTTCTCACGGGGCACTGGGTGAAAATGAAAGGCAGGGTTCCATAACCTTGGCACATCTGAGATTGAATCCCAGTAATTCCACGTGGTGGGGGCTGTCCCATGCGTTGCAGGATGTTTAGCAGGATCCTTGGCCAATGCCCACTGGATGCCAGTAACATCTCCCGCCCCCTACTCCTTTTCTATTAGTGGTGACTACTAAAAATGTCTCCAGACACTGCCAAATGTCCCTCCCCCTCGACTTGAGAACCCCAGATGTAGGTGAATTCAAGGTTTTGGCCGTTTGACTGGTGGGCTACCAGGGAGGTGCAGGAGCCCTGGTTTCCTTGCAAAAAAAAAATGGATGATGGTTAGGCTTTACGATTTGTTCAAGGGAGAGCTGAATTCTGACCAATGAAGCATTTCCCAAATCCCCATAGGTTTGCCAACCCACAGTCACCCAAGGAAGCTTCATGCTATCTGCTGAAAACCAACTTCAACAATAAAAGCCCCTCATAGAAGATCCGTGCTCATTAAAACTGAGTGAGCTCTCCAGTGCCAGGAGAGGCGCTTTGCTGTTGCAGTGGTGGGGAGATGGATTTCACAGACTGGAAAGTATTTAGGAGTTGGAAAAAAGAGTCCTGCAAAATAAGCTGGCTAGCTAGACACCAAATGTGCTTTGCAGTTGCCCCTGGAGTTTGATTTTTCCGTAAAGGCTGTTTTGAACTCCAGATTCTTTGGATGAAAAGTGAGATTTCTTTTCTGCAGATTTATGAGAAGGTGGATACTGAAAATATGCTCCAGAGCTAAGGAATGGAATTTCTTTTGTTACTTCTAGTAGCTAGGAGCGCCAGCTCACAGACTCGGAGACAGTGCCTGAAAACAGTCAGAGGTGCTCCTCATTTGTGCTTTTTAAAAAAGCAATTCAGAATGATATTCAGGAAAAAAAAAATATATATATATATATATGGACAGAATCACCATGTACTATAGAGTTATGGATACTGTAGAGATAACCAGTTTTTCCCAAATTAATTTAGAAATTGAATTCAACTTTCCAATCAAAGTTCTGGAAGAGTTTGTTTTGATGATAAGAATTTTACAACATGATCCTAGGCTTATCTTAGCAAAAAAAAAAAAAAAAAAAAAAAAAAGCAGTAAAAAGGGCTGAAACATTTTTGGAAAAGAATAATGAAGACATTCTCCCCATCTCTCCAAATATTAAAATGTATTACTATGTAAATTAATAAAAACAGGATGGTAAAGACCAAATAGGTGGATAGAGTAGAAAATCTAAAAAGACAAGTACATGTAGATCCAAGTACATGTAAACATTTAGTGGAATTTTAAATCAGTATATAATGATTCATTTAAAAAAAATGGTTCTTGGACAAGTGATGGATAACATGGGAAAAGAAAAAATTAGATTTATACTTTACACACCATACACAAAAATAAATTTCAGAAAGATTGAAAATCTAAATATTTAAAATGAAATGATGAAAGAACTAGAAGACAATTTAGATGAATATTACTGTAACCTTAGATTTAGAGCTTTTAAAGCATGACAAGGCAGAAACCATAAATGAAAATAAAGAGAGATTTGAATAACTACAATTTTACGCTTGTATAAATGAAAAATAAGCAATGAAAAATATAAAAAGTTACAGTAACTTTTGCCACATGAATTACTCTCTAAAGATTGATTTCCATATATAAAAAGTAGTGAAAGAAAACTCCTGATAGGAAATAGCCTAAATGCATAATTCACAAGAGAAAAAATATGAAAGTCCATAAATGAACTAAAAGTCATTATTAATCAAAAAAATGAAAAAAATCAAACAATATAATTTTTATTAGGTTGACAAAAACTTTTAAAGAATTACAATAATCAGTATTGGCCAATTTGCGGGAGGTAGGCACTGTCATCTCTTACTAGGGAAAATGTTAATTGGTGCAGTCTTTCTAGACTTGCGCTGTCCAGTAGAACTTTCTAGGATGGTGAAATTCTATGTCTGTGCAGTTCAGTACAGTAGCTACTAGCCGTATGTAACTTTAGCCCTTGAAATGTAGCTAGTCCCATTAAGGACGTTAATTTTTAATTTTCTTTAACTAACTTGAACTTTAATAGCCACATGTGGCTACCGTACTGGATAGTGCAGACAAGAAGATAATTTGGCCACATGTATATCAAATGCCTTTAAAAAATGAGGGGTCTCCCTTTCCATCCAGCAATTTCATTTCCTAAAGAAAAAATCCAAATAGTCACAAAGAAGTACTTACCTGTATGTTTATGGAGGTGATGTTTATAATAAAAAGCTGAGGATTATATGTGTCTAACAACAGGGGATTTACTAAGGTATGATATATGTATAGTATTGAACATACATTGCATGCTATACGTGCTTGTAAGCTATTTTAAGAGAAATATGTAATTCTTACTATATACTTTTAGATGAAAATGCAATTACCAAACGTCACCTGCATTATGATTCTACCTGTTTTAAAAAGTTAAACACACACGTGTATGTCTCTATTTACCAATATGGTAGTAGTATTTGTCTCTAGCAGGTAGAATTTTAAATTCTGTTCATGTTTTTCTTAATTTTCAAACTTTTCTGTAATGAACATATATTACTTTTATATTCAACAAAACTAAGTTATTTTGAATTTTTAAAAAATCATGTCAAGTGAGTCTCTAACCAGCGTGCTGACTTCCAAGCCCCTTGCTATTATAAGGGATGCTGCTGCTTTTATATTTAATCCTGGAGTAAATTTCTAAATGCACCATAGAATTCTCTGAAGCACACTGGGGACCCAAAAATGTTCCAGGAAAAAAATCGTGGAGAGACCGTCACAGACATTCAGGTGGATGCCTCTGACTTCCTTTAGATGTTCTATGGCTGGAAGAGAAGGATATTTTTGTGCTGAATGAAAAGCTTGCTAGAACTTGGTGTGATAGTACACACACCACTAGCTTACCATTGTGATCCAGGCTAATTTATGAGATTGATGAGTCCAGAGCTGGGGGGTGGACCGAAAGGCAGTGGTAGCAAACAGGCCCCTGGGTGGTCCCTAAAGACATGATCTTCTGTCCTCGAAAGAACCTCCTCACACAGTGCTGTCCAGCACCCAACCACAGCCAGAGTGGAAACTGAAAAAATGCTGACTCATTTTTTCCTTGGGCTTCTTAGATCCTTTGGCTGGCAAGACACTGTCTACCGTCTGAAACCGAGGGATCATAGGGGACTGAATCCACCATTCTTCTCCCAATCCCTGGAACTCCCTTTTCCCCAGCAACTGGTTTTCTTTTCCATGGCATTAAATCTCAGCTCATTTCAGCTTTAAGCAGGCTGCATCTCTGGCCTGGAGGGAACCCAGATTATACATTTAATGGAACATCATGTTTTCTCAACCAGGAGCAAAGACTTCATAATGATAACCTAGAAAATACCACAGTAACACAATAGGGCATTATTAGCAGCTTTGGCGACTGGGCTGGTGAACTGGGCTGCACAAGGCTTTATACTGATGGAATTTCATGTTCACTTAAACATGCTTTTCTGGTTATAGTCAGGAAAAATAGATTGCTGGGAATTCAATCAGGGATTTGAAAAGTTAGATTTGGAAGGCTCTGTTCAACAAAAAGCAAAGCAGCAGCTGGCTTCTTTTAAGTCTTCCAGGGGACCTTCCAAGATGAGTGCACCCATTTGACCAACACACGGACATGACTGTACCTTTCCTCTCTCACGGCACCTCCCACCCTCTGTTACTACAGTATATGTTTACGTATTGACATATTGGTCTATTTTACATGGAGCTATTAGTCACTTGAATGGAGAAAGTGGATTCTGCATCATGAATCTCAAGTGGCTAGCTATGTTATGTGTGCCCTAAAGACTTAAAAAACAGAATGTGGGAAGGAGAGCAGGAGGAATGGAGATGGTGGGCTGGAGGGGAGGAGTAAATGCTAGCAGCTTTATTTATAGGATTTTCCAAAGCCACTGCCTGTCATTCCTTTTCTGCACCTAATAAATCCTTATATGTCTAAAGGCCCCCCACAGGCTCACCATGTGCTCCTTCTCCATGAGATCCCCCGAATCCCCGGCCACTTCCCTTCTGTTCAGCACCAATTTTCTCTTTCTTCCACTGTATAAGGGGACTCCATGTTGCCACTCCCCCAGAGTTCCAACCATAGAAGCCACTACTGAGTGATGCCCTGATGATGCTGATCTCCAGGACCAATGTTATATATTGTACTGCAGGGACAGGATCATCAGACAGATTTTTATAGCATTAGACTGGAAACTTCACATCAGGTATAATACTGGCTTTTTTTTTTCTGGGAAAATATCTTCTGAGTTCCCAACTACTTAACTTAAAAAAGCAATACTGGATTGGGAACTTGCATGAGTCTTGCAGACTCATGCTCTCTCACAAGGGTCCCAAAGACAACCTTGTTTGGTAGGTAGGGCAAGCACGACTGTCCCTAATTTGAAGATCAATGGACTTTGTTCAGTCCACTGGGTTAAGTGACTTGC